AAAGCAGGGACAAGGGAATGAGAGGCTTGAGTGGATGGAGATATGGATGCCCAGAGGACTGGGGTCCTGCAGCCTGGGGGGTTGCATCTGGGGGTTTGGGGTCTGGGGTGCCGGGGGTCTGGAGAACTGGGGGCTAGGTGCCTGGGCTCAGGGGACTGGGGTTGCAGGGGATGAGGAACAGGGTCTGGGTGTCTGGGGAGCAGGGCCTGGAGGGGCTGGGGTCTGACAGGCTGCTGACCTGTGGGCAGCTGTGTTTCTTCCTAGGAACGAGAGCGGCTGCTTCGGTCCCGGCGACAGCGTGGGAGGAGCCTGAAGCCACCCAAGGTGAGGCTGTGGGGGTCGGTCAGGAGAGAGGGTCCAGGTGTGGCACACAGGGGTGCAGCCGGGGGCACTCACAGGGTCTCAGCACCTGTCACCAAAGCTGTCATCACAGCTCAGATGTCAGGACACATCCACAGGGCTCTTGGGCAGGGCTCCATTGTGCAGAACCAGAGTGGTGGAGAGTCAGACCAGGGTGGGCGCCCTGCTGCCTGTGGTGAGTGGAGAGCCGAGGCGCTACCTCACAGCTGCAGAGGGATGCAGCCGGCAATGCCTACACGCAGGTTGGGGCAGGTGCCCGTAAACAGGCTCTGTGTGCAGCTAGCAGCTAGTCATCATGGTTGTGTGGAACCTTCTGTTCCTCAGGCTCTGGTGGCAGCGATGTGGCTCTCCTTAGCAAGGGGGCCCAGCAGTGAAGGGTTTGGGGTTCAAACCCACTAGCTTGGATGGAGGCGGGCTACCCTGTGAGGGTCTGTTGCTGTGAGGTGCCATCGGTCTGGTTCTGACCCATAGTGACCCGTGCATGGCAGGATGAAACACTTTTTGCACTGTTCGCACATTTGAGCCTGTGGCTACAGCCACCGTGTCCATCCATCTCACCTGGTTTCTGCTGCCCCTGTACTTTATCAAGCGTGATGTCCTTTTCTAGGGACTGGTCTCTCCTGACACGTGTCCCAGTCTATGAGATGAAGCCTCAGTATCTTTGCCTCTAAGGAAAGGCGCGTGTTGGCTGTACTTCTTCCCAGACAGGGGATTGGTCCTTGCAGCAGTCCCCGGTGCTTTCAATACTCGCTGCCGGCACCACTGTTCAAAGGCATTCCGGCTTCTCTCAGGTCTCCCATCGCCAATGTCCAACTTTCATGTGCAGACGGGGCCGTGGGACACGCCAGGGCTTGGGCCAGGTGCACCTTAGTCCTCATCGTACCCCCCTTGCTTTCCGACACGTGTGTGGCCATGTTGCTCTGTGTCACTGGCATGTTTTAATCGCCAGCAGGGTCCCCCAAAGTGAACAGGTTTCTGAAGATCTTCCAGACTCAGAACAGAGGAGGAAGAAGGAGCCCGCTGCCCGCTTCAGAAGAGGACTCACTGAAAATCTTGCCCGGCTAGGAAACGTTGTTAGGGAGCGCAGGCCCAGGGAACAAGGGCGGAGCACTGCCGAGAGAGTGCGGAGGACAGAAGGCACTCGGCGTGTGGCTGAGGAGGAGCTGGTTTCTCAGAGTGGAGTTGACCACGGTGACGTGCATGGAGGAGAGCCGTGGGAGTGGAGCTCGCCAGATCGTCCTTTGCTGATGGGGCACAGCTCGTCAAAAGGGAAGAAACAGCGGCAGACATCAATTGACCATGGGAACTTGGAAGGCGAGAAGTATGAATCCAGGAAAACTGAAAGTCGTCCGGATGCAGCGGAACGCACAAAGACCGATACTCATCCTTGTGCCGCGTTGGACTGGGGTTGGCCATTTTGAATCAGAAAGCTACATGGCTTTCTGTGCCAGGAATAACACAATCAAAGGAAAGGGGTGGCAGTCATTGTCAAAAAAGATGTTTCAAGATCTACCCTGGAGGGCAATGCTATCAGGGAAAGGATTATCTCTACCCCACTTCAGGAGATCCAGCCAGCACAAATATTATTCCCATGGATGCCCCAAATACCAAAGCTAGTGATAAATTGAATGATTCTACCAACATCTTCAGTTGGAAATTGGTCAAGCATGCAATCAAGATACAGTGACGATTCCTAGCGACGGGAGTGCAGAAATCGGAAGCAGAGGGAGGAGCGGTAGTTGGAGAATAGGGTCTTGGTGACAGAGACGAAGGTAGAGATCACATGATAGAACTTTGCAAATGCATTTGTAGCAAATACCTTTTTCAACAACACAAACAGCAACCACACCTGTGGACCCTCCAGAGGGAACACACAGGACCGAATGACACCTGCGGGAAGACACGATGGAGCAGCTCAATATCAGCAATGGAAACCAGGCCAGGGCCGACTGTGGAACAGACCACCAATTGCTCTTAAGAAAGTTCAGGTTGAAGTAGAAGAAAATGGAAATAAGTCCATTAGGGCCAAAAGACAGCCTTGAGCCTCTCCCACCTGAATTTTGAGACCATCTCATGAACAGACGTGCTGCATTGTCCACTCAGTCACAGAGACCCGCTGGCTGTGGAATGACGCCAGGAACAGCACCGTGAAGAAGCAAACAGTCATCAGAAAGACAGACAGAAAGACAAGATCACATGGGTGTCAGAAAAGACTGGAGCTTGCGCTTAATCATAGAGTAGCTAAGGCAGATGGAAGAAAAGATGAAGTCAAAGAACTGAATGGAAAAACTCAAAGGACAGCCAAGAAGACAAGATAAAATATGACAATGAAATATGCAAAGATCTAGACATAGAAAACCCAAAGGGAGGAACTCACTCAGCAATGTCTGCTCCTCCTCCTCCTCCTCCTCCTAGCAGATCTGGAACGGAAAGAACGAGAGAGGAAACGCAAGTCCTGAGTTACGGTCTTGAAAGATTCTATGGGCAAAACACTGAAAGGTGCAGAAAGGCCACAGAGAGAATGGAAAGCATTCACAGAGCCCCTGGACCGAAAGACCTCGTCAGCCCCCCACCATTTCAGGAGGGAGCAGATGAGCAAGGACCAGTGGTTCTGAAGGAAGAAGTTCAAGCTGCACTGAAAGCATTAGCCAAAAATAGGGCTCCCGAAATCATTGGAATACAAAATGGAAATGTTCAAAGGCTGACGAAGCCTTGGAAGCACTCACTTGTCTGCGGCAGGAAGTTTGGAAGACAGTTACTCGTGCAGCTGGCTGGAGGAGATCCATATCGGTACCCAATCCCGACAGAACACTCACACTATCGAACAGCATCACCGATGTCAGGTGCACGCGAAACTGCTGACGATCATCCAACAACGGCTGTCACGGGACATTGACAGGAGCTGCCAGAGGTTCAGGTTGGATTCAGAAGAGGATGGTGGAACCAAGGATAAGGTATTCCGCTGTGTGGATCATAACAAATTATGGATAGCCTTGAGAAGAATGGGAATTCCGGAACACTTCATATGCTCCTGTTGACATCATCCCTAACAAGGAAACTAGCTGTCATGGTTGGCGCATAGGTTTGAATAATAGTGATCTTGGTTGGATTTCCTTGGAGGCGGATAGACATAATACGAATACAGACAGCCCTCCAAGATCCTGAGATGTCCACTTTGAAGATGGACACAACTCCATTCCTCTCGACTGCATCATTCCTGGCAGATGCAGTAAATGAGCTATGGTTCTCTGGTTCAGCCTGGCCACTACCAGTCCATTTTGGCTCACAAATGCTTACAATGTTGATAGTTATGTGTTCCATTTTTATATTTGATGGCTTTCAGTTTTCCAAGACCCATACTTTGGACATTCCAACTTCCAATATCAGTTGATGTTTGCAGCTGTTTCTTCCCATTTTGCCTCGAAGGCTTTTCTCTGGAGCACTTTACCCCATTTGCAGCACGCTTGCTGGGCCAGCTCGTCCTCAGCCGAAGTTTGAGTGTGTTCTGACCCGCGGGCTGGTCTCCTGGCCCTGTCTCTGAGAGTGCTCTGCTGCTGTCTGTCCACTGTGCTCGCAGTAACTGACCCTGCTTTGATGCCGTCATCGGGTGGTTCCTGGCTGACTCCTCTGAAGTGGACAGCTGGTCCCTTCTTGGTTGTCTGTCTGCTCTGAGTCTGGAAGCTTCACTGAAACCTGTTCACCTTGGTGACCCTGCTGGCATGTGAAACACTGGTGATATAGCTTCCAGTATCACAGCGACACAC